TTTTTCCTCTTTTTTTTTTTTTGATGAAGTTGGGAAACATCGACATGAGAGCGGGACGCCGTTAGATGCTTGAAAACCGATTGATCAAGTATTTATATGCTAATAAAGTGATTTGAGTAAGACTAAAGTGAGATTATGTTTTCACATTTTGGAAACTTCTATTAATAAAGAAAACTAAAGCAACTATGGTTTTTGACACATTGAAACTTCGTCCTCTGCGTTTTCTAGCTTGATTAGCGAATTCTATTTCAAGTCATATAGGAAAAATCAATATTAGGTGGGTATTAATCTGAAATATTTTTCTGACTTCGTGTAGTTAACGATTCGACATATTCTATATTGACGTAATTATAGAAAACCTATCAAAGAGTGACGTAATAAATATCGAGTCTTTCGCAACTTATAAATGAAAAAAAAAAAACCTTGAAGGATATTTCTATCGTGCTCGAAGAGAAGATGAGTTCATCCTAGTGCTATAGGTACGCGATCATCGGGATGCAGATACTTAGGTCGCTCGTCGAAATGATGAAGAAGAGATAAAATATCTCGAGCCCTCTTCGCAAGTGAACAGAAAATATATTCTCAAACTACATAAAAAAATTGCAAAGAGAGGAAAGAATGTGATGAGATTATTTACGGAGTTGATAGTAGATGTGATATAAATTTGAATATGCATAAACAAAAATGTCATTAAATGTAAATGACTGCATCGGCTTTGATAAGGGACATAAATATTAAATAGTAAGAGGAATAATATCAAATCTTTAATCCATCTTCAACATATCAACTAACAGAAATCATTAACATGGAAATAAATTTATAAAAATGTATTAGTTTTCTTGATATAAAGGAAATAGCTAAACAACTGCTTTTCCAACTGCTATTCAAGAAACTTGGCCCTCTATAATCGATCGGTACTTACAAATTAAAACTCCAAAACCAATCTAAATTTATATCAGTTATCTCTGAGTGAAATTTCCGCACTAAGCTCCAATTGCCATTACTAATCAACATCTTGTGAATTCGCAACTCGTTCGTTGCCAAGATCTAAAGGAACGAGCCGGCCTCAAGTAGTCATAAAAGCTACTTACCAAGGAGAGAATTTCTTAGTAAATTCAACGTGACTACATGATAAAAAAAAAAAAAAACAAAGAAAGAGAGAGAGGACATTAGATGCAACCTATATTGTCACGCCCCGAACCCCGCGAGCGCGCAACATCCTGCAATGGTCATTATGATGCGACGTCCCAGGACGCGTCGCCGACCCAACATTTTATCTTTTGGTTACGCATGCGGAAGCTAAACAAAGATTCACCCAGACAATAACAGTGAACAAGGATAGATAGGAAAACGGTTTACAACATCGAAATCAAAACATCATTTTAACATTTACTTGATTAACCCCTGGGAACATTTTTTTACAAGCCCACTTCAGGCATTTCCAAAAATAGTCTACAAAAAGATGTCAGGCTGGGGTCAATCTACTTCACCAAAAGTCAGCTTCCACGCACCCCGAACCATACTGGGTGCATCAACATGCTAAGGGCCTGAAAAAATGTTTAACAACCACAAATGAGATAAAAATCTCAATAAGTTAACGCCTAAGCCCCGTTTAGAAGGTCAACTCACCTCGGGGGTCCATAACCAGGCAATACAGCATCAACAGCACATCATTAAACAATCCCAGGCATCCTTACCTCGCCTTGGGACACTCGTTGATGAAATGCATATGTCGCAAACTCGAAGCATCTAAATCAATTACTCATGCATCAATGCATCACAAGCGTGCGTGTCCCGATTATAAGATAGAATCCACTTGGGCACGTCCCATACCATGCCTAGCAGTTTCTATCATATAATCAGGCACTATGTATCACACGTATTCCAATTATTACGCCCCCTCGGGCCACTACACATCAAGCGATACGCAGCAAGATGGTAGTCTTCCGGTAAAAACCGGGCTCCGTCCCGCCCCATCGGGCACGGCTACGTCAAACGATACACAGGATGACGGCATTCCAATACGGCAACATCAAACGATACACAGTAAGATGGTATCCCGTAAGGAGCATCGAGTCCAGCCTCGGGCCGCGACAAGGCATCCGGGGTGTCGGCACTCCAGATAATCCCCAGGCATCCGATAAATCGGGCATCGTCAAGCGATACACAGCAAGACGGCTCCAACGTGTGACCACACGAGCACACAAGCATTCTGGCCAATTATTATCTTCTCAATTAGCCCATGCGTCCGTGAATAGTGCTCACATTAATGCCATACAATAATATCACATGGTCACACATGCAACAGTCAATCGATTTTGTGAACCTCATTTTAAACATGAATTCAACATCGGATCACAGCCAAATAAACATTATTGAAAAGCTAGGTAATTGTGGTTATTGCCTCTTTTAGGCCGGAAATCGGAAGCCAAAGATTTCAAGTAAAAACAAGCAGATTATGGAATTCTAGTAAAACTGGACAGATTTGCATGATTTGGGAAATCAACTTCAAAAGCATAGCAAATGGTTTCCAAAAATTATAAAATTCGAATATGTTATAAACAAGACCTTCACAAATATTTTCCATGCAGAACACAATCCCAAAATCCTTATACCAAGATCACTTTTGATGGCTTGAAAACAACCCAGAACTGGTCCGCTGGAACAGGGGAACTGAACCAAAAGAAATACTCGTTTTACAAATCAAATCATTTCAAAACACTTTGAAATTTTTACACGTTGTAGACATGGATTTCTTTTACAAATCTTGTGAAGGAAGTATGGCCGGAATCGAACTGAAAATTTTTATAAAAATCTGAGAAAGCACGAAGGTCACGGAATCCACAGTATAAAACAGTTCTGATTCGGTAAGAAATTGGACCTTCGTGTAACCCATTTGAGCTCAGAAAAATCTGAAATTTAAGTATGTTATAGATCAAGATCTTGTGAACAACTTTGATGAAGAACACTTTTCAAGATTCTAACCACAAAATGCTTTATAAAAATGGAAAACCATGGACGTACAGTAAAATCAGTTCCGAAATCAAGATAAAAACTCCAAGAAACACCTTCAACTTTGAGATCCACCACTTCTCAGCCATGAAAATACCACACCAAGAGTTCAAATCAACATTCAACATCTATTTCAACTTAGTCTAGCAATCAAGACTCGCCAATGCTCATTCTAGAAGTTCAAACACACTAAAACATTAACTAGCCAAACTACCCAATGCAAGTTAAACATCCTAAACAAGGGATTAGATGTTAACTTACTCGTCTAAAAACGAGTACAACGCGAGGACGACGGCAACGACACGAGTTGTCTATGGCGGCCTCGGCTTGACACGGCAAGCGACAGACGGCGGTGAACGGCACACGGCGATCTACGGGGCTCAAGGATGGTGGCGTGAGGGGCTGGTGGGTGCACGGCGGGGGTGGGGTGATTCGGCCGAGAGAGAGGGAGAGAGAGAGAATAAGAGAGAAAGTGAGGAGAGAGAGAAATAGGGTTTAAATTTAAATCAAGATCAATGGTTGGGATTTGTTCTTGATGCCCAAGTCAAGATCAAGGGCTAGGATGTGTTCTTGCTCCCCAAGTTTAATCCAATGGCCAAGATGAAGCCTTGCTCTCCAAGTTCAATCCGACGGCCAAGATCAAATCTAACACAAATGTTTCTAGAAGGGTAATTTAGCAAATAATTTTCGATGGCCAATTTGTAAAAATTATGAGGCGACGTCCTATAGTTCGGGTGTGATATCCTTGAGCACTCGACACGCAAAAATCGGATCATAATTCGTGGCTGAAATCGATCAATCGCAACTATAGTTTATCTCGAACTAACGGGCGGCTGCTAGAAATAAATTTTTCGATAGCCTTTCCCCTTTGGTTAGTATTCCCTAGGTGATCAGGCCAGAGCGAGAATTAACTAGTAGAGCGTCGATGAAATCACCATTTCATAAATCACCAAATTTGGTCGAATTTTCAGGATATCACATATATGCTTTCTTTCTTCCATAGATATTCATTTTTTTTATTAATTGATGAAATTTCGTTTCATATCTAATCGTAATTTTCATCTCTTCTTTTTCCTTTCTCGTCCTCAATCTTGTTTTGTTGTGATAATAATTATATGGACACTTTGCCAACCTATTCTATTCATTCGTAAATTCGCCGTTTTTAAGTGTCGTAGGGACAAATTACTATTAAGTTCGTAAATCACGTAGATGAAATTCATTCAAAACTCTTTAACTAAGAGAATATAGTAATCTATTTTTGTCCCCAAACAGTGGTTAAATATATATATCGGCAATAATTCAACTTAACAATCTAACCCTCCCCAACAAGTTATGTTCTCTGTGTTTTCTTTACTAAGACGTTCACATGAACCCTCATTTGTTTTCTTCTACTAGACTTTAATTTTGTTGACCATGATTTTAATCTAGTTCATCACTTAGATTTTGAAGAGTTTTATTCTCTAGATTCCTAGCCAATCCTCATCTTTCTTCTTATCTTAGACTTTGAAACTTTTTTGCCTTGATTTTGGACCTTTTCATCGTTTAGATAATCTTGATTCCTAACCAATCCTCATTTGCCTTCTTCTTTTAGATTTTAGTCTTAAGTATATAGTTCATTACATTTGTTGACTTTATGTACCAAAAACATACAATTAGTTCCTATCGAATCCACATTTGTCTTAATACGATGATTGAGAGTAGAGCCTATTGACGTATACAATTGATAATTGTCCACCTTAGCTTGTTAAATACCGCGTCACTTTTCCTAATAAATGAATTTTAATGGAAGAACTGTACAAATTTGGTTATATGCTTGAAGTTATAACTTCCCACAACTTCATTTTAGTGACGGCTTAGGGCTCAGCTTGCATTGATGAATTAGACACGAAATGCCACAGTAAACTGCAGAGCATAACACAGGATCTTTGAGTTCACTGCAAGAACATGTGCAATGAACATAGAACATTTATGACTAAGTGTTTATCAATTCAGCTCTTTTTCTTCAGTGCCTCGAGTTTTTCCGTCGATGCCTTCAGTTTTGCCTTCAGTTGCTCTAGATTCGCCGTCAGTTCCTCCAAATTCGCTTTCATTGCGTCCACTTCTTGCCGTGCGCCTTCAATTTCTCCATCCAGCTCTTCAAGTTCTGGTTTCAATTTCACCTGAAATATTGGCTCAGTTTCCTTCAGTTATTGTATAGGAAAAGATCATAAAATGGTCAAGGACGACTGCTACGGGAGAGTACAGTTTATGTGCATATGCTTTTTGACTTATGCTGCAGATGACACATACCTTGGTCTTAATTTCTTGTAAATTTATTTTCAACATAAGCTGATGATTAGGAGACTTATCTGTTTTTGTCTTCCATTATTTGAGGCATCATCTTATTGCTTTCAACCTTTTCTGATCATATCCATTCCTCCACTCCATAACCAGAGGATCAGCTTGCCGGAGATACTGCACATGCAACATGAGCAATCAACTGGCATACTTTGCAAGAGTAAGCCCATAGTTCCAGATCCCTTCTTCGCTCGCAAATGTCGCAGTAGTACTCACCAGAATCATCCTCAACAATTGATTCATGGAGGGTTAACTCATCAATGTGATGGTTGGTTTTGATGGTTTGCGGTGTCTGAAGGCAATCGTAGTGAACATGCACATTGCACATTGCACGACACACAACAGTACAAGTCAACTGCGCATATCTTACCGCTGGCTCTGCATTGTGAGTTGGAAGTCAAGACTTCGCTGAAAATATGAAAGACCATGCGCCAGGAGTGGATGCTTTAGAGTTGGCATTTGGACACAGGAAGGATGCAGTTTGAAGTTGCCGCACTTTTCGCATTGGTAGCAGATCCTCCTTCTAATTGATTCACCACAGACATTGCAATGGTTGGAGTAAGGTTCATAGACAAGAACGAGTTGATGCTCATGGTGATGGGTCTATATTTGAAAGCGCTTCCGCACATGATTTGTGGACCGACCGATTATACACCTCGTATCGATAAGCTGGACCCTGGCAATGCTTGCTGCAACTATCGCAATGGCAGCGGCTGGAACCCTGCGCATGGAAAAGTGTCAACTTATTCCCTTCTATCATCAGCTATTCAATCCTGTTACTTGCTCCCTGCTCAAGATATGCGAGAGTTTGAAGAGCACAAGGGACGTGAAGATTTGTGCAATTTATAGAGTTTGAGCAGGTTTCTCTGCTCGAACACTTGGGACTGAAATTTTTCTTATCAAGTTTCTATAGTGAAATGTAATGCTTAACTTTAGGTAGACTTGAATTCTTGCCGGATAGCTCTTATTTGCAGCTTATATATGTCAATAATGCATAACTATACTCCAATGAAGGTTGCAAAACCACCGAGCTAGTCACCAATTTTGTTTTCGAATAATACTCCGAAACTGCTATTCGGGGTTGCCTTTAGAGGACCCATCGGTATTCATCATAACATTCCTAAAGGCAGAGGATCCCAGTTGACCAAAATCGATGAAATGTATGATCCACTTAATGTAGAGTTGTTCATAGATGAAGCCTTGATGATTTCTTTCATTTGTGACCCAATTACTTATACTGATTTCGAAGGGAAAATAAAATTATCCTGAAAAAGTGACTTGTTTCTCAATTGCCAAAAAAAAAAAACACACACACTCACTCCAAAAGTTATGCTCCAATCCTAATAAAAATTCAATTGCCCTTTCCCAGCAAGATTGACTCACCCATTAAGACAAATTCAATGAAAAGAATTCTTTCGAATATTTTTGTGGGACAAACTCAAGTCGTATCCTGCGAGCGATTGAACAATCCCTTAAAACAAGTAGTGTTGATTCCACATGAGACTCACATCTGCAGCAATATGCATTTCCTCCCAAGTTGCAAGACGTCTTCAATTCGTTTGTCAACAGTCGCTTGTGAGTGGTTAGCCAGAGGAAAGTTCTAATAAGTTGAGGTCCCTTCCGCTTCCGAATAATGGATCACATACTATCATATTCTTGATTATCTCTACCCAAATGATTACCTTGCACACTGACTTAACAAAAAAAGACCTGCTTCCAGTATCCTCCCGCAATAGACTATCTTCTTCGTTGAGGCTAATGGAGGTTTGACTGTCCGAATTCGAAAAAATTGTATCTTTTGGTAAAATTCCCGCACACCCGAAAATTCTAGCTCCCATTCAATACATAATCGCAAACATTTCTATTCATCTCGGCGGGAGATAGTTGAGATTCAATTTTCGGAATTGTGGTTGAGACTCAACTTTGCCAAACAACTTGGTTATCGCAAGATTCTCATTAAGATTGACTCTGAAGCCATCTCTGATCTTGTTAGTCCAAAACTTATTATTGATAATTCCGACCCTCTTTTACTTAAAGATATCATGAGACCGTTGAGCTTTCTTTTTTAGTTCAAAGTGCGACATAACTTTGAGTAAAAAGTCATCATGCTGATTGGCTTAGTAATCCCGAAATCAATTACTGCTTGGACACTGGGTTCTTTTCACTACCTCGTAGAGAGTTACTTCATGATTTTCAAAGGACATAAAACGGGGACAATAGATTCTCTCGATGTTAATTTCTGTATTCGATTTTAGCCCTTTTTCATAGCAAAGAAAAAAGGTTCAATTAATGCTTTAAGTGAAAAAGGGATTACTCAGTTTTTTCAATAGAATCATATTTGCTGCATCAACGTTCAGGAACACCGAGGACAGATTGACGGGGAGGCCGGCAGGGAAGCCTCTATAGTGGCCCATGTTGACCATCGAAAAGACCAATCATTTGAGGACGTTGGCCCAACCAAAGCAAGCCTTGAAGAAATGGACTTGGCCAACTAAATTCTTTTTTAATTTATTGGATGGCCCAATTAATGCTGCAAGGTTAGCAAAAATAAAAACATGAAAACTATGAACCCAAACGGAAAGATTAATGTTATCCTAATCGACCGAGTTATCGAGAAAGATGAACGAATTCATTACTTCATATAAATGTGTAAAATATGCCGTAAAAGTCCACAGACCGCCTAATTGACACCCAATTCACCGTGAGCATCCCTTCTGGATACGTAATCAGAAAGACGGGATCTATTGTAGCGCTTGTAATTATCTTGGTCACTAGTCTTACTTTTGCTATTTGTGCGAATTCAATTCACACGTGAGCTGCGCGATCTCGATGCTGCCTCATGAGGATGACACCACGACGTTTTAGTATCTTCCTCAAGATCATCCATTGACCCGAGTTCGCAGGGGAAATAAAATCTTGCATCATTTACAAAGGATGCGGGGATGAGAGATCTCGGCAGAAGCGTACGGATGCCACGAGTGCACGTTCTTTCTCCTTTTATAATAACTTAGCAATTTTGCATAAATTACGAGAGACTAAAAAGTGATTTTAGGCCATATAATCTTGATTGCACGAGTCAAAGCATATGCAATTACTTGGCCAAAAAAAAAGAACATGCGCTCTTATATGATCTCCTTGCGAAATCATTATGTTTAGCACTTCTAGAGTTTCATCATCATATGCTGTAGCTAAAGAAAAGTACAGAGAGTGTTGACAAGATCTTGCCAACACTTCAGGCAAAGTTGGAGCCAGCTGAAGAGAACCCTGCAGTTACAAAATGAGATGAAGAAATCAAACGTGTAGAGGAAGAACTGGACACAAATTTTGGCGAACATGAATGCACTGAGGATAAAATTGGAGGCGCTCAAGACAGAACGTGAAGTAGCAGCCTCTGAAAGTTTATATCAGAGGGGTATTATGTAATTGTTCAGTGTTTCAATGTAAAATTTGCTTAACATCGGAATCGAAACCACACGTGCTTCTAGATAAATTCTGGGTTCAAGTGAAAAGGGCAGGGCAACTTTTAGTATGGACAGACCAAATACAGAAGAATAATAATGCATGAAAAGGAAGTTGGTCCGGTGATGTTGTGTAGCATTTCCAACCTTAGAGACAACAAACACTTCCAATTGTTATAAGAGCAGAAATGGTGCATTATCTCCAGCAAGTCAACTCCAAATAGCTTGCTTTTATTTCTATTTTTTTTGTGTGCTTTTTTGTACTTTATCGATCTCGGCTAACCTTAAGTTTATGATTTATCAGCTAAGGTAGACGAGACATGATATGAGATGAGTCGAAAGACACTTTACCACATAAAATTAAAAAATGAAAGGGACTAATAAGCAAATGTGTCTACGTTTAAGTTTAGTAACTTCATATAACGACAGGAGAGAGACTAATTACGACTCAAGCCCTACCATGATTCATGATGAGACTACTCGATTTGTGAAAATAAATTCTAGAGGTTGTTAAAATCTATTGATTTTTCAGTTGAAATTTGAACATAATGGAAGCAGTATTTCAATGGATCGAGCTTCTTAAGAATCTCCACTTCGAAAAGTACGACACCGATGTTGTCTTGCTTCTAGCCACAACAACACAAGATGATTGGATTTCCATCAGAGCAGGCAGTGTGCAAAGGCAAGTGTGGAAAGAACTTGCACTCGTGGATGCACAAGCTGATTTGGGGGATCAATACTACAAAGACAACTGTGGATACACGAACAGCACATACGGGAGAAGAAAATGGAAGTTTTTGAACTTTCTATTCATCTCCGCAAGGCCGAGTCAAACACCGGCACGTTTTCGCTTTAGAGCATTCTATTTTGTCGCTTCTGCCACCAGATCCGTCCACATCTCATCCACCTCGGCTTGTAGACTTGCAGTTTCTTTATCTGGTTGGTCGGCTAGGCCCCGATCTCATTCTCATACCCGTCCACATCTCATCCCGAATATTGTTGACACTTAAGTCTGAAATCTAACCACATCACAATCAATCTTACATGCACAATCATGTATTGTACAGTAGAAAAAGGAGATGCATTCCTGTTTGTGCCTGTATTTTGGTATTTACAACCAGTTATTTCTTTCCTTACAATCCAACAACAGACATGATCCACAAATTTTCTTAAGCAGAATACCATATACGACAGATTTTGAGTGGGCTTACCACAGATTCTACACACATTCAATGCTAGCTATGGCCGACCTGCACTCTTCGCAGAAGCAAATGCCTTGCTCTGGATGCCTTGGTTTCTCACACCAATTGCAATAATACTGATCGAGATCATCGTTGACGAGAAAATTATGGAGAGTTAATGGCTGGACATGATCCTTGTGCTTTACAGTACGTGGTACGTGGTAGTGAAAGACAACTTTGGTGAAGATTAAAGACTGAACCAACAAATATGAAGGAGCTTCAGTCCAAAAAAATATGCATGATTTAAGTTTAAAAAAAATGAATTTTCTTAACCTGAAAAGGAAAACATTTTCGTGAAAAATGAATTGTTGAAAATTTTTTTTTTAGGGTTTATATCATGAAAAATCCCAAACCGGTACACCCGTGACAAATTTAGCTCAAACTAATTTTTTAAAAACCAAAAACCCTAAACTAGTACATTTGTGACAAATTTATCATCCGTTAAATTAGATTAATAAAAAAAGCACAAACTAGTACACTTGTGACAAACGAAGAATACATTCGTCAACTACCACGTGTTATTTAACTTAGAAATTTGACAGTAAAATTTAACGAAAATTAGTGAAGAGTAAAATTTATCACAAGTATACCAGTTTGATATTTTCTGTGATGAAAAAATTAATTTAAAA